ATATATTATATTTTATTATATATATGAACTTTTTTCCCGGATAAAAACGAGAAAATACCATCTTGTCATTCTAACTGCGATCTTATTTATTTTAAAGGATGAGATCTTAAATTAATTTTTCGTAAAATTGATAACATATGTGCATGTATGTGTGTGTGCGTATATAAGAAAAATTTATATAGAAATCAATAACACTTTAATTATAAATACTGTTGATTAAAAATAATGACTTGTGAAATAAATCTTTCTTTATGAATATTTATTGCATCTTTCCTTTATTATATATACTACTATCATTTTTTAAATATATATTGCGTATTTGTAATAAACTAGTTATTTTTTAGATACACAATAAGAATATTTTTATTCAGGACTTTAAAAGAAGGACTCGACCTAGTAATGTAAGATTGAGGATGCGTTAAAATAGTATTTCATTCGGGCAGTTCTCCTGGGTATCTCCAGATCCGTGCAATAGTGATAAGAACCCAACGTATGTGCTGAATTATGAAAGCTGGCGCCACAGATAATCGATTACGGAAATAGCCTTCCGTGTAAAGACGGATGCCTTAAAAGGGCAAAGCTTTCCCGGTCATTTAATATCTCGCCTTCTCCCTATAAGCAACTTTACGCTTTTCCGCATAATATAGCAAAAATATAATAGAATAAATAAAAGGATTTAACACGATAGAGAGAAAGAGAGAAAGAGGAAAATTTTTCTTAATCCATTGGATCAAAAGTTTAATTTAAAAAAAATTAATTATTCTTATTCTTTTAAAATGTTATTTGACATTTTTTATAAAAAATATATTAAATTAAACATTAATTGAGCAAGTTACTTATATATCGCGAAATAAAATTTATATACATGCAAAACATAATGAATAGATAGGACAGTAATAAAAAAGTAAAAATAATAATAAAATAATATTAAAAACGTATTTTATTATTCTTCCAAGGAGAAAAAAAAATATCAACGCTCTTAATTATTAGACCATGTATAGCCATATCTCGAGTCGTAAATTGGAAGGATCCGCTTTGCTTTGAAAAGAAAATGCCAGCGTATCATCTTTATTGTTGAACTAGTCTAAATTACTATCCACCGCAAGACGAATCGGCCGTAGGCCGAACTTTTCCGAAGGAAAATCTAACAACCCTCCTGCTCAATTGCCCTCCTGCGAAGGCGGAGGAGTTAGGCAATTTGTCTGGAACGTCCCCTTGCAAGCATCGATGCGTCAAAAAGAAATCGAAAAAACCAATGAAAAAGTGTGAGCGTTCTTTTAACTTCAACTACGTATTCAATTATTTTAGCGGCTCTTGCAATTAATATAAAAAAATCAATATCAGAATTCACAGATGATAAAAAGATGACATTTTTTTTTTTTTTTTTTTTTATTTGATATCATATTTTAGATGAATCTTCAATTGTAATACGTTTTTTTTTCTTTAACGTGCAGTCATT